CGCGGGTCAATTAAGTGACACTTTCTATAATTAACGGTCGAAATCGGTGCTGCTGAAAACCGCGAATCTCTCGACGGCTTATCGCGACGAGTTATTCGATGGGTACGCGATATTATATTACGCACAGGTGCATTCCGTCGTGTTTCAATCTCACGTAATCCAAAATCTCGCGGTTACCGGAGTTTCCACTTGATTATGAGATTTTGCCTATCGGCGGAAACGAGATGTCGTCGTCGCGCGAACTCGTTGGCAGCGGGTATCGGGTTTTAGCCGCAATTTTCGCGTAACGAGATTATTCTGTCGGCTCGCAGTTTATTATCCCGTGCGTTTACCCAGGTAGGATTCGCGGATACGAGAATGGGATTCTCTCGCGGGAAATCCCACGATCGACGAAAGACGACACGAGCTTGGGGAGCGCGAAGACGTCGAAGGCACTCTCCGTTTTCTGTCGCGAGGAGAAGAGATCGATAGAGTCAAGGTACGTCAAATATTAGACGTTCGGCCTTCGAGCGAAGAGCGCAATTTTGCAGCTCGCTCTGTGAATCCCGTGTTATAAACTTCTCCCGCGGTGGTTATTTGGAATTTGGAAAATTACACTCGCGACGTTTGGGGATTCGCGTGACTCCCGACGAACGACTTCGAGCAGGAAGGAGCGGAAAAAACGAAATCGCTTATTTCGTGTTGGGATAGCCTCGCTCTTCGATCGAGCCGAGCCGTCCGACAACAACCCCGGGACAGCTTCCTGCACTCACAAATGGAGAGGATGCGGCACATACAACGACGTATATACGTCAACTACAAACTTATACAACAGATCAAGCCTTTTGCTCTCTATACATTTATGTGTTCAGCGAACGGTTACGCACACGTAATCTGTCGCAACGGCATCACCGGTCGGTGCTCGAAATAGTGTAATTCGAGAATTGTATGCCGAATGACGCAAACATGCATATCCCGTGAGAGTGTTTTAGCATAGCAATAATTCGAGAATGAATTTTCACGAGAGCGAGAGATAGATACCACGTTTCGATAAAATTAAACATAGATTATCGTGTAACCTTCGGTATTGTATAGAATAATGATGATATTTCAGCGAGTGAATTTACATGAACTTTGACGCGAACGGCTCTAATTACGTATATTGTATATCATATAACGTACCCTATCTCGAATTACTCGAATAGAAATTTATCGGCAAAATTATTTGAAAATCTTCACCAAGTCTTGTGTCACGATGTAATATTATCGTGAATAATCCCCACGCGTACACA